TTCTTGTTTTCCCCCCCCCCCCCCCCTATCGCTCCCATTTTCTTCCAAAATAATGTTTTCTTGTTGTACAATAAAATTGATATTGTTTGACAGATTGTGTATAACATATTTTTGTACTGCGTTATGGGTAACTTGGTTCCTCTTTGTTCAATTTGTTTTTCCAGACTGCTGCAGAGTATCAGCGTCGAGGGGAAAATTTCTTCAAGGAGCTGGAATTTGTGTTTGCGGATGTGGTATGGTAACTTCTGTCACCTAACTCTGTAATCCATTTGCCTATGTTTCTTCCTCGGACAATATTGCCACCATTCCGGACTTTAGCTCATATCTGAAGGATTGCTGGTGCCTTCGTGTGAGACTGCTCACCATCCTTTTTCATGCAAACTTCTTAACTTTCAGCATTGCGTAGCTTACCAAACTTCATTGAAGGATACTTTCTACAACACAGATTCATTCTGATTAAACAGGGATACAAATTCTTACGGAACCATCCTCTTCCTTTTTAATGCCATTGACTAGGGTGTCCATGGGCTAGGCCGGGCTTGAATAGTGTAGGCCCAAGCCCTTACCCCAATAAGTTATCGGGCGGATTGGGTCGGACTTTGGATAGGGGTAGGCTCCGTAGCCTAACCTGCGAGTCTATTGGGCGGGCCTGTGGACAAGCTTTCTGGACGGGCCTACTCGCGGGCTTTTTTATATGCAATTTCATTTAAAAATAATGAATATTTTTGTAATTTAATATTTGTGTAAATTATATTTTTGAATAAAAAATAGAGTCAAAATGGATAAAAATAAAATAATGAATAATTTTATTTTTGATTAGGGGATGAAATACATCCAATAGAATGAATATATTCCAATTAGGTTGACACCTACTCACTTATCTATCATTTGTATTACTCTACCCTTTAAAATTTGTATGCTTAATACATGAAAAATAAAATAATACATTATTTATAGTATCTAAATTTTTAAAATTTCAAATTCTGACATTAGGAGATTTATTTCAAAATTTCAAATTTAATGGTCTAAAAATATAATTTTTGTTTAAAGGAAGGATGGATGGGCTATGTGGGCGAACTCTTGGGCTGGACTTCGGGCCAGGTAATGGGTTTGGGGGCAAACTCAAGCCCTCTTTTTAAGAATATTGGGCTCGGACGGGCCAACTATCGGGTTTTGGACTTTTTTTTTTGGGCTGGGTAACGGGATCTGTGGGTAACCCAGTCCATGGACACCCCTACCATTGACTTATATCAATTTTTACAGTTTCTTTATCTTACAATATGTATACATTTTGCATTCTGAAGCGGTGATGGAAATGAATTTTGAAGGGTATACTATGACAAAATAATGCAAAACCCTGACTCCTTAAGAAGTTCTTTTCCTTTTATACGGTTATAGTTGTTTGTGTGTATAATGGGACTGGGATGGGAAATGAATTTTGAAGGGTTAACTATGACAAAATAATGAAAAATCCGGACACTTCTTAATACTTATGAAGGAGATTTATTTTTCTTCTACATGGTTATATCTGTCTATCTGTATGGTGGGATTGGGATGGGATTGATTTAACTCTTTACTCTTTGAACAGTGGGGATGCTTGATAATCATATATCATTATATCTTTGCTGAATTTTTTTTTTGTTGTTTGCTCAATAACATAAAAGATTGATTTTCGATTACATTTGACTGTATTTTGTTCTTAGTACTAACATTAGCAACTTGTGTTTTGCTTAGGTGATGGCCATAATCGCTGATTTCATGCTTGTATATCTTCCTGCTCCTACTGTTTCTCTCCGGCCACCAATTGGAATTAATGCTGGATCTATTGCCAAGTTCTTTTATAACTGTCCTGATAATGCATTTCAGGTCACTTTGTCCTTTGATGATGAACTTGTACAATTTTTTTTTTCAATAAGTAGATATATGCATATACGCTAGAGAATGAAGTGAAAATTATTTGGAAGAGAATTATGTGGTCAGTGACAGAGCAAACACCCCCCCCCCCCAAAAAAAATATATATATATATATATATATATATATATATATATATATGTTTTTTTTCTAACCTGTAAGTATCTATATTACACTATTGACCGAGTTTTAGTATTGGAAAGACTTCACCTCATTTACATGTACTCTATAGGTAGAGATTGAATATGTGTGAACCAGGCACCCAACACAATAAAATATTCTTCTATTCTTTCATCACTAGTACGTAATACCAATTCTTTCCTTAACACATGGTCTTGGTAAATATAAAGTCAAAAAATAATCATACGTTTTCAATGGAAAGTCACTAAAATAATCATACATTTCAAGTTCATACAAGTTCGCATTTTTTTTTCACCATCTACAGTAGAAAAAAAATTTAACCCCTTAAAAAATTAGAAGAATCCCACTGCCTAGAACTTAAGTATAAAGGATTTAATCCATCTTTTACCCAAGAGCAAAATTGTTGGACATGGCTAAAATAAGTCAAACCTTGCTTTTTTCTCCGTAGATTAATGGGTTAGTATTTTTGATTTTTAGTACTTAAAAAAAAATATTTTTGACTAGTATTGTTAGGAGAAAATTATAATATTTTTTGATTGAGGTTTTTGTTTATTGTATTTGCTTTATACATTGCTATACTGGGTAGTGTAAGATGTTTTTTATTTTTGTGTTGTATTTCAGTCAACTACAGTTGATTAATACCTTTCGAGGCAAATAATTTTTTCCTCAGACAGTTTGAATGAGTACCATTGTTTCTGTTTTCCTCTAAGTGTCCAATTCGAATTTTTGTTGGTTTGAGTTTTGGTTCATAAATTTTGCTCCTCCTAAAGATTCAATTCCGGCTCTGTCCCTGTTGGTGGGCATCAATCCTGTCTGTAGCTGTGTAGCATGCTTAATTTTGTTGTGGATTTCTTGTCCAATTTTTTGTATTTTGTTACTATTTTGAATGAATAGTTCCGTTTCTTATCAAAATCCTTTCTATAGGTTGCTTTGGCTGGAACATCATATTCACTATTACAGAGACTAGGTGCAATAGCTGTAAGGAGACACTTTCTTAATATTTAGAATAACCAGGAAGAAATTGGAAGTTTTAGAGTTAATCATTGATACACAAACCTCATTTTATGTGGATTATTTTTTCAGCGTAATGGGGCAAAGCTTTTTGGAGTTGGCACTGCTTCATCTCTGGTAATTGCCTTTTTTTCCCCCCCTAGTTGATGTGGAAGTCTAATGCATCAAGTTTTTTGCTGTCTATCATTGCTTTAAAATTTTGTGTCATCTTGTAAACTTGTTACTGTGCTTGAGTATGTTTCTTGGTTTTGTTCTTTTCTTGTTGCTGCTTTGACTTTGAGAGCATTATTAACTGTGCAAGATTGTTGCATTATTTGTTTATTCTACTAATCCCAACTCCCATGCAATCTTTGATGGAGAATTGTCGTGGCTGACCTTCTTCAGCATGCTATGGTTTTCTGTTACAATCTGAGGTGTGTTTCATTTTTTTACATGGTATGTCATCCGAGGTGTGTTTCAATTGTACTTAATTTTGGCAGCTGTGCACGTTGTAAAAGAAATGTAGCTTTGCAGTTGACCTGATGATTAAACCCTCGAAAAGATGATCATGTTTCCTACCTATGAAGCACAGACACTCTCCATACCTGTTCTGATGAGGCATGGAGGGACTCGACCCGAAGGCATACTTATGTTTCGTTTCTCAGGGTTTATCTTGGTTCCTGTCGGTCTTTTTTCTCCAATCACCTGGAATTTATTTTTTCCAGCAATATAATTAGATGGAAATTCATGATTTGTGCTCCTTACTTTCTTTGCTTAATGTGGTCTCTCTAAACTTTGTCTCTTTTGATAGAAGTAGTTGGATTATTGATCCATCAAGACTATTTTTTTTTAAAAATCTTTCTTTGATTCGTTGATTCTTTGATTGAGTATTCTAGTTTTTTGTCCATTTTTGATGACATAGAAGACAAAGGTGCCCCTTGAGGTTCAAGTGTGTCTGTGGACAATTGTTCAGGTTAGGAGTAATACAAAGGATTTAATTCAGAAAAGGAGACCATATGCTTGTTTGTAGACAAAATGGTGTGTTGTGAGTGGAGAGAGGATAAGAGCATTGATCACCTTTTCTTCAGTGTCTGGTTACATTGGGGTTGTGGTTTTATTCTTACTAGGCAGAAGTGAGTTGGGTGATTACTAGGCATTGTGTCTCTTTCTTTGAGGAAGATTTTAGGATTTTGGATTGGATAAGAAAGCTATCACTATGTGGAAGTGTGCAATTACAGCTATTTTCTGGTTTTTGATTGGAGAGAAGAGAAATGCTTGAGCTTTCGAGGGTAGAAATGAATTGGGAGACTATCTATGGAATAAAGTTCAATTTTGGCAATTTGGGGGCTTTGGTCCAATGAGTTCAAAAATATTCATCTTTTCTGTAGAATTTTAGATCAAAGATCATTATGTGAAATGTAGAATTGATATGGCTGGAGAGTTTTCAAGTATGCCCGTCTTCATTATGTATCTGTGACTTTTATTTTGATAAGATTTCGTTCACGATCAAACTGAATTGCTGCTTGATGGATTTTACTTTATTCAGGTTGGCACAGTCGTCACAAATGCATTGATAAATGCACGGAAGGCTGTTGATCAGTCCACTGAAGATGATGTGGAGAATGTGCCTATACTATCTACTAGTGTTGCTTATGGAGTCTATATGGCAGTCTCTAGCAATCTGCGGTATGTGGGATCAGATTTTATCATTATTTTGGCTAAACTATTCTAGTGTTAGGTTTTTATTTTCGTTATAATTAGTAGCTATTGTATATATATAACCTAGACATGTGCACTACGTAAGTTTGAATAGGATAGGGTGTGAACTTGAACTGCTTCTTTGCCCAGAGAATAATTTACTAAGGAGGTGCTTCTGTTCAACAGATACCAAGTATTGGCTGGGGTAATTGAACAACGGATTTTAGAGCCCATGCTACACCAACACAAGTTAATGCTAAGTGCAATCTGCTTTGCTGTGCGGACTGGCAACACATTCTTGGGTTCATTATTGTGAGAGAGTCTTTACCTCTTCCCGGAAATATATATATTGTTTTCTTTCTTCTGTTGCATCACTGCTTAAAAGTTAAAAATGGTATGTAACAGGTGGGTGGACTATGCTCGTTGGATCGGAATTCAAAAGGCTCATGACGTTGAATGACAAGTTTGTTCTCTGGCTTGATGTTATATTTCAGAAATTGAATGTCTGTTTCTTTTATTAGTTGACATCACATAGCAGTAGAACAGTCGACATTGGTTGAATTTATGGGATGTTATACACCTTAGCGTATATTTAGGTTTCTCAGATAACTAAACACGTGTTGCTAGTTCATTGGACATTTTGATGTTTCTGTTGAACATCTTGTTCTCTTCTTTTGTGAATTTGTTTACAATCAAAGTACGACAGTCAAGAAGATTTGCAGCGTTTGACTGATTCATGAGTATCCAAATCCATGTTTGTTAAGTTGGCTACCGGGCTGTGTGACAAAAATTGCTATACCTTTATTACATAGATGGATGACTCTCAACAAAGAGCATTCAGATCCAGCTCACATGGGAAATCCCTACATTTATGTTCTCACTTCATTTGCTGCATGAAAATTTGTGGAAACGACTTGATCTTGGCTGGATTTTGTATCTCTATCCGATAGACGTATTTTTAATTTCATTTTTGCTGGAACTCTTCTGTTATGAATACAAGTATGATCAAGCAACCCAAAAAAAAAAAAAAAGGAATAAAAGTACAATCCATTGATCCTCATCAAGTCATGGTAAATGGCCTACCCTACCATTAAAGAGAAATTGGGAGCAAGACATGGTAAACGATCAATCATTAAAGAAAAATTGAGAGAAAGTGTCTGGGAGATTATCTATACCCCTTTTGGTTTTGGTGGGGGTGAGGGAGGGGAGGGGTTCCGGCAGAAAAAAAACAGTTTAATTTGCTGCATCATGTTTTGTAGAAGACACTTCATAACCATACTCTTCAGTTCACTTATCTCTTTCAATGTGACAAAGACATAGCAATACAATAGGCTATTTCTTTTAGTTTGTTCATGGATTTCTTAATTGGCACAAGAGAGAAGGAAAAATGAAAAATTTATGTAATATTGAGAGTTGCCTCGTGAGGCCTCAATATACATTCACCTACAAAACTTAACACACTGGAGCAGTTTTAAAAATGTAGCACAAGAATTTCTTTCTAACCAACAATCTCATCCTTCATGCAAGCCCTATATGTGACCTCTGCCATGTCCTTGCCATCCACATGCACAACATCACAGCATTCACTTCTTTCAATCTGAGAGAGAGAGAGAGAGCAGTAAAATAACTGTAACATTCATTATGCAATTACTATCGAGCGCCCAATGATTAAGGTCAATGTAAAATTTTTGAAATTTTCAGACTTGAGTAAATATAATCATTGAAAATATAGGTAAAGTCATACATTACCCCTACTATCTTTCAATTTTTTTGGGGGTGGGGGTGGGGGTGGTGGTCGAACTGCGCCTATTGTCATTAGATCCTCTATAAATTTTGTGTAGTGAACTGTATGAGTTCAACTAATATTTGCTACCTCGTTAGTTTCTCTTCCTAATAAATGGTGCGCTTATAATAAACAAAAGCAGTTTCAATGAAGGCGACAATCTGACCAACCCATTATACCGGGTGTTGTACACCTAGTAAATAATTATGACCATGACTAAGGCCCCAATTAGGCAATGACTATGGTGAAACTGGCTCAGTTTGTTTCAGCAAGAATTACTATGTGAGAACCCTACATAGCTCATGGAAAATTTTGTGTCAAGTTGAATTATAAGATGATGAAATAACTTGTAGTCACTGTATAGCAATGAGAGAGAATAAAAACGGAAGAGTATCACACCCACCTCACTGGGTTTGGTTTTTGGCGAGAAGACCTGAATTTTTGAGATACGATCTGCAGAGTGATTCCCTCCTGATGAACAAGCCGGAAAATCCCGCTGTGATGCGCGGATGTAGCTTGTAACAAGTTGATTCCCGGCAGTTTCCACAAGGGATTCGAAGAAAAAAACATGAGGAGCCTTACATGGATCGTTGAGGAGTAATCGTGGGTTGAACATGAAATGTGGCCGCCTTGTGTTTTCTATCCATGGCCTAAATGTCTCAAGGGGTCTCTTCAGGAGGCTCGGAGGGATAATTTGTTCATAAATATGAGAAGAGTAGCCCCAAGCAGTTGAAAAAGACCAGTTGTTTTGCTTGTGGTAGCAGATAGCTTGCTGTAACAGACGAGAATGGTCAATTTTGGCAGCTTCCATAAGATGTTTAATTGATTCATGACGGTTCATGGAGGGAAAAATTGGATCTACAACATCAAGGTGGTGCAGGGAGACCAAAGGAGAATGTGGGTGGGCTGATAGAAGTCCTGATATGTCGCCATGCAGATCAATCTGCAAAAACGTGTTAACAAAATGGAAAAATTTCATCCACATCCCTCATATAACTCGTGAATAAATCAGGAAAAAAAATTAAATAGCAGAACTTCTGTCCCTAATTTTTGCGTTTTTTTTTTTTTTGCATTGTAACTTCACAGATTGTAAATGATTAAATTCACAACTTCATTTTACCACAAGGCCAATGCATTAGTTTTTATTAACCTTTATTTGCACAGGTAGTAATGTTTGAATTTTCTTAAATAAGAAGCATACTAAAACACTTTCATTATTATTACATATCAGAATGCCCTATATATTTCACAATATTTGAAGCCAGAAAAGTCCTATATGTTGAAAAATCTCACTCTATATTACAAAAAGGTAACCCCGAGCACGAGGCTCCCGCCTTATTTAGAATAATTTAACAAATCAATATGAATTAAAAAAATATTCGTCATATTTGGCAAAATTTGCAGAACATGTTAAATCATGGTGATATACGGGATAAATTCAGGATTCATTCCTTTTGAAGAAGAAATCAAGATACAATGCTAGGAATTTTTCTAACATAGGACAATTTGTCACGGTATATCGACTATGGTATTGGTGGGGATCACTTATGTATAACAGATACAACTCGAGTTTATGATGGATGATTTACCCTCCAACCATGGAGGTAACTTGATGGATAAGTATATAAGAAGGGATCCAAATCCAACAGCAATTGTAAGTCTTCACCGCAGAATGTGTTTCCAAAATGCATGCATGAATGTGAACTGTTCATATTTTGAGAACTGGGCATTATAGAAATTTTGATACAATTTGAGCATCGAAAAGGCACAGTTACCTGGTGAAAACCCTTTTCAGCAGTCAGGGAAACTCCAAAATCAGATATGCAAGACTGCAAAATCCGATCGCTGATACGATAATCTGGATATCTCTTGATGCAGCCATCTAAATTTGTCACCAGAGCTGCTGCTAAAGGGTAACTCAAAGCATACCCACCCCCACCAAATGCCATTTCAAATGAATGGTCGACGTTTGATTTAATACACTCTGAATGGCCCCCAATGTAGAGGTACTTAGTGTGATTGTACTTGGCTAAGACCTCAACCAAGTTATCAACAACAAAGACTGTGTCATCATCTGCCATTACATACCATCTCACTCCTTCGTCTTCCTCCCTAAATGTCTCGAGAATCATACGCACAATTTTGATAATGGATGGCGCTGCATGTTGTGAGTACACTTCAAACTTGGAGGTATCTTCGGAAACCCGAAAAGGAGGAGAATAAGAAGGCCAAGGTAGGAGATCTCCTGTCGGAGCTTTATCAAGGAAGACATATCCCTGTGTTACATTTGGTTGCCACCATGTTTCGATGTAAGACTTCCTGTATGACCATGTAGCCACAGAACCTGCAATTCCAAACACAAGGTGGCTTATATCAGTTGGAGGTTTCTCAAGCAGTGGTGAGGGCGGTGCCATTTTGTGCTGTATGGGTGAAATCAACTCGGAAGAATGGTGACTAGAATTGCTAGACAGTAATATGACCAGTATGTATAGGACTAGTCCTGTAACAGCCACTTGTTTGAAATAGACTTGAAATCTCCTGGTGGCAATTGCTGATGGCATTGTAAAGAATAGAAAGAATCAAGGCACAGTCAAATTATTCTGAAACAAAGCACTCTCATTCAAAATTCAAATGAAATCTGAAGTAATGGTTTTTCTGCTCAAGTTGGCTTTGTTGGAACCAAGAAAAAAAATTGATTTTTTTTTTTTCGGTTTGCTTGCCTGATCTGTACTTTGTCATTCGTTTTAAAAGAAGAATAGAGAAGCTCAAACACAATAATCAGGTAGATAGCTTACTTTTCTGAGTCATGTTGCAGTGTGTATATAAATTAACCAGTAACTAAGTATGGGCAAACCATAAATGGAAGAAAAAAGATATGCTTATACCAGTCTGCCCACTTGGCATATATACAGCAATGTCAAGAAAAAAATCCATACCAGCTGTCTGCACCATAAAGACTCGTTATCTAAATCCAACTATAGTTCCTGTAGTTGTTTCAAATAGAGCCATTTGTATTCATTCTATACCAGTTAGCAGGCTAAATATGAATAAAAGAATGTTGCTCGCAATAGTTTGATCACTTGGCACTTTTCCTACAATGACAAGAATTCTAGTCCCACATACCATTAAGTAGTTAAGACCTAGAGCCAATTACAGGACCTAAATTGGTTCTATTGGGCTATGAAGCACGGACACTCTCGAGAACGTGACGTATCCGTGTCGGACACATATCGGACACCGACACTCTTCGGACACTCTCGGACACGTGTCCGATACTCTTTTATCTGTATCCATAATTAAATGATAAATTTTTAATTTCGGACACGTGTTCGGACACTTATTTGGTGACGTGTCTTAACACTTTTTTAGAACGTTTCTACTATTAAACAATTGACATTTGTTGAAATGTGAAAAATCTTAAAAATTTGAGAAAATATAATTACTAATACTAGACATATTAAAGTTGTACTCCAAATATAATAATAAAAATTCATGATTATTAACTATAATGAGGATGTTTTAGTCTAAAAATTCACATAGATGACTAGACATTAGATTTTCTTATCATAAAATACTGATTTTTTTATGAATTGTATATTATTATCACTATATTTGTAATAAATTATATAATGTTATATATAAAATATAATTTTTTTGTAGCGTGTCCTCAACGTGTCCGTGTCCTACTTTTTTGATAAATGTCGTATCCGTGTCCATGCTTCTTAGCTATTGGGTGCCATTTACACATGATTATATCTTTCTGCAGACAGATGCTGCTTATACCTGTCTGCTTACTTGGCATATTTCCTGGAATGGCAAGGAAAAAAAGCATGTGCTGTCTACACCATGAAATGCATAAGGTCCAAATCTAATTACACTCAGATAGGTATTACCAAGTGTTATCCAAATATGGTTCTTTTTCATTGTGCAGCATAAGGACTAGGAATAGAAAATATTGCTCATAATAGTCTGTCCACTTTACATCTTTCCTGCAATAACAAGAAAATAATTACCTTTGCCATCTACAGTGTTAAGATCCAAAGCCAATCAAATGTGCTAAAAGGTTCCATAGAGCCACACTTATATGTGATCCGTTTAGCAGTTTATGCAGACTAGATTCCAAGAGAAAGAAAAAAAAAAGATATTGCTCATACCTGTCTGTAACTGGCACATTTCCAGCAATGTTATTTAAGATAATGATATGCATGGTCTGCACGATTGAATACCTGAGATCTACATCCAGTTACAGTTCCTGAATTGGAAACACAGGATGCCATTTATATCAGGCTAAAGTATGGGAAATAAAAAGATATCGTCCATAACAATCTGCCACTGGACATATTTCTTCCAATGACACGAAAATAATCATTGTGTTATCTATACCAATAGATGAATAAGACCTAAAGTTAATTACAGTACCAGAGTACCTGAATTGGTTACAGAGAATGCTAGTAATTTTGTTGAGTTGAGTATGATCTTGTGCTCTTTACACTTGGAGGGATTCGAACTGTTCATAATTTGGCCCACATAGAGTGGCTTAAGTTTTTTCTTATAATTGGTAACAGCATGTTATATTTCAAAAATTAGGGAAACGGCAACACGAAATTTAACCCTCAACCTCAAACTGTTGAGGTTCTCCTTTCGTATTTGCTATGTCACACCCTGACTTGAAAAAGCTACCAACCACCTCTGAGAGGGAAGATCACACTTATGTACTATAAACTTATCTTCTAGCAATCTAGCTTATAACTGCTCACATAGTTTTGGCTAAATCATTACTTAAAATGGCAACCAATAAGTATGATCATAAAATTCAGTCGACAACAACACCAACAACTGTTCTGAAAACATATATAATTCAAGTGACAATGCATATTCTCATATGAAATCATCAGTGGTTGTGCCCAAGGCTCCAAATAGACTGACCCAGAGATTGAGGGTTCAAGCATTGGTACCTCCTCTCATAAAAAATCATAATCAACTACCATGGTATATTGTCTAAAAATATAATGCAGTTCACAAAGTTCAAAGTTATAACTACAACATTTCTTCAATCCTGTACTGCTTCTATTCTAAATTTGCAACTTTTGGTAGTGAATTTTCCAATCTAAGCTAAGAAATTAAAAAAAAGGTTAAAAAATGAAGGGCTAACACCCGGTGAATGTACATTGCTCATAAAAGGAGAAACATGAAAACCATTATAGGCAAAGAAGTTTGATCAAAATCCTTCCTTCCAGGGAAAATCTAATAAAACACATTAGCCTACGTTGTTCGTAAGAATACTTGGTCATAAAGCATTCATGTCAACTACTTTAAAAAGAATCTGTAGGTTTGTTCAAATCCCACAGCACAGAACATAAAATTATGTAAGCTAATAAAATTAACAAAGCTCATGGTAGAAAGACACATAATTCACTTTGCTCAAATCATCAACTTTACTACTTGACTACCTCAACATAGTCGTAGTCCATACAAATCCCACCTTTCCACTTATATCCCGCCCAAAGCAGCGCGGGCAAAATGCATTCCACGCCTCCATTTCTTCCTGGCCCAGAGCAATGCGGCCTAAATAGATTTGATGTCCACATTTATATCCATCCAAAGCAAGGTGACCAAAATCTATTCTGTGCCCAAATTTCTATTGAAAGGTGGCCTAAATATACCGCATTCCCATTTATACCCAGCCCAAAGCAAGGCGGCCTAAATCTTTGTCCAAGCATCTCTGCTACATCATCTCAATACTTAAGTCGTCATCGGTAGTTCTCATGCATTTTCCTCATTTCACAAACAAATGAACTTATAAAAACAGCTTCCATAAAGCAAGATCCTCGAATCATTGCATACCATTCAAGAAAATTTTAGCTTGCCCCATCATGTTAGTATATAAATGAAACAGTTCATGAATTTCCATAAAACATAATCTCAAATCAAAACAAATATCATTTCACAGATTCATATCTTCAAATTAATTTTCATATATCAGAAGGTAATGAAGAGGGTCGAATATAGTTTTCAGTTGTTCGAGCTAGTACACTCACCGGAAAGACTTCAACAACGGTGGGGCTGTCAAATTCAGCCCCTGGTTGGAGAAGGAACACGCTTTTCACGGCGGAAAAGAGTTATCCTCTCTTACCCAAAGTGACACCCCAAGTTGAAAGTTCTGGAAAATTTTCAGCTTAGATATGAAAAAAGTGAATTTTGGGGTTTGAAATGAGTCTAGCAGTCCAACAAGGTTGCTGGCCGGCTGCAGCTCTTTCCGGCGACGGTGAAGATGATGGGCAGTTAGGGTGGGGTGGTTCTGGCGGTGGCTGGTGGCTGGCCGAGCCATTGGATTGAGGTTTGGGGTTGTTTGGATAGAGCATGACCTTAAGCCAAGTGGATGAAAAATTGATCGGATAAAAAAGTGGGGGAAATAAATCTTTCATCTTTAGAGAAAAGAAAAATATTATCACTCTTTTGTGTTTGGTCCAATGAATGAATAGTTAGAAAAATTAATTTTTTATTATTTAATATTAGTAGGAAAAGTAAAAAAAAGAAAAAATGTATGTATTTAATTTACCATTATACCCTTATATACAAATATATTTTAAGTGCAAAAAGTCTATTTGTTCAAAAAACTGAATAAAATAGTCGAGAAATCAATATAGATTTTTTTAAAAGTCGGTATACCTAATTAGACTTGTTTAGTAAAAAGTACATAGAATAAAATATTTTACAAAAAAATATACAACTGAGTTACAAAGATATAAATGCCCATTTTAAGGTCATTTACACAATGCTCCTCGTTTACATTTTCAGTGCTTCTATAACTCCCACACGACTGACAACACCTCCATCTACCAATCCACTACCCAAATACCATTCAACTCCTTCTCCACCTTCACTTAAAATCCCATCCAAAAACATTATCATCAACTCACCCCAATTCATAACAAAGTCATCTCCTCTCTTTCTCCACTGTGAACAATAAACTTACCTCCTCACTACACGCTCGCTCCCCACTACCATCACCACTATGCCAAAACCATCAATTTTTATATACTCAAAACAAGTTTCCAAAAAAAGAAACAGTGTGTAGATGGAGAGTTAAAAGAGATTGACACATGTGTCTACGTCAAGAGTAATCGAAGGGGATAAGTAGGATAAATGGATAGGATGGAACGAACTCAAGTAGCTTGTTAACAAAGGGATCAACCAATTGGGCAAAGGGAATGTGGAGTAAATGCTTTCACCAACCAAAAAATCTCATCCTCCGCAGTAGGCAAGTAATGTCGGTATTTATAGTACAATATCCGGGCTACCTATAGCGACCATCTTATACTTGCACTAACCTATAACTGCCTCGACCGTGGTGATACCAGTTGCTCCTAACTACGAGCCACATGACCCAACATTAACTAGACAGATGTGACATTTTTTCAAACGCAGCCTAGACATGGGTCTAAGGAGAGTGCGATAGTTGAGGTGAAAGGGAGTTCCTAAGGTTAATGATCGCGATAGGTCACTGCGAGACCATGATCTCGAGGGGTCCATGTACGCGATGCCCCTAGCGCGCTCCTACCCAGGGTCCTCCCTGCCCTTTCTGGATCCTTCCTTGACACCTTTGTCGAAGTGTCCGATAGAGAAAACTCACATAGTTTCGATCCTTTAGCCATTAACCCACATGTCCCATTATCCCATATGTTGATCCGAACAAATAACCCCAGTTATGAAGTCCCTCCGAATCTCATTCAAGCATATCCCAATGGACAGTGAACCATACACTAGGAGGATTGCTCGAGCGGACTAAACCTTTGAGACTCTACCCTAGGGCGAGGTTGACAATCATGCTTGTCCACCCCTGTTGCTCAGTTCTCCCTTGATGAGGGAAATACTGCCCTATCCCTAGGTGGGGACCCCTCCTCTTAGTTCAATGGGCTAGTCGAGCAATGGTGTCTAATAGTTGAGGATACTATTCCCGTAGTGGGGAGACGAGTCTCGACAATGTTTCCTCCAAACTTTTGCGATACCACTTTTGTTCACCCTTGGTGAAGGGTTCGTTTTTTCACTTTCAATGTGATGGGGATGTGTTTCCCCTATTACAGTGTTGCGCTCGGGGGCGTCACACATGGGGAGTCGTGTCTGGGGGCATTGCACATTGGTTGTCGTGCCTGAGGATATCGCACCTGGGGATATCTCACCTTGGGTGTTGCACCTTGGGTCATTGCACCTTAGTTATTGTGCTTGGGGGCGTCGCACCTTGCATTGTTATCCATACTAGTCCAGCTAGACCCTGTCGGGCCCTACTTCCATGTGAGCTGATGACTCATACCATTTGTTCTGTTATGGTTTAAACATGTGT